GTCTGGGACTCAAACTGCAGTAGGCCACGTGGGAATCCGCTGCCCTTAATCACCATGCCACCTGCCAGTCCCTATTTATTTAATTTTTCATTTTTTGGAGAGATTTTTGCTATAAGGTATATGTGTTCACTGTAGAGGCAGAGAAATAGAAAGTGAAAAATCACCCCAAGAGAGGAGGGCCACACCACCATCCTTTCTCCTCCATGCTCCTCTCGGGATTTTAGGCATGCGTGCACATGTGTCTGGTGTGAGTTTCAAGCTGCCAGGTCTAGGACTTAAACTGTGGTCGGCCTCATGGGAGTTCAGTGCCTTAACCTCTACAACACCTGCTGGTCCTTATTGTTATTTTTAAAATTTGCTCTATGGTACACATGCTCATCACAGAGAGACAGAGAAAGAGATAAGGAAAGTGAGAAAGCAAGCTGCCAGGTCTGCAACTCGAACCACAGTTGGCCATGTGGAAGTCCAACCACACCACTGCTGGCTCCAACAGTGCATAGTTCTTGTTTGGATCCTGGACTAGAAAAAAGAAAACACAAGGAAAACTGAAAAGGACATTATGGGGATAATTGAGGAAAGTTAGGTATGGGTATAAGATAGTGGTAATAGTATATTGAAATTAGGGGTCAGCAGGTGGCATGGTGGTTAAGGCGCTGGACTCCCACATGGCCAACAATGTTTTGAGTCCTAGACCTGGCAGCTTTCTTACCTTCTTGCTTTCTTACTTTCTTACTTTCTCTTTCTCACTCTCTCTCTCTCTAGTAAGTACATGTGCCCTATAGCAACTTTTTTTTTCTTCTTTTTTGGAGCATGTGAGCTTGCTACAGGGCACGTGCGCTCACCAGAGAGACAGAGAGAGACAGGGAGACAGGAAGCAAGAAATCACCCCCCACGGAGGATGGCCATGCCGCAATCCCTTACCCCTCCATTCTCCTCTCGGGATCTTGGGCATGCACGCACACGCGCCTGGCATGAGTTTAAGCCACCGGGTCCAGGATTTGAACCGCAGTCGACTACATGGCAGTCCAGCGACATAGCCATTACACTAACTGCTGATCCCGCAAATTTTTAAATAATAATAAATAAATCATTTTAAAAGTAGTATATTGAAATTAAAAAATATTATAGTATGTCAAAAGCTATAGTGCATAATCCAACAGAGAACTGTGGCTTCCTGGTGCTGGCTCACTAAACTATAGTGCATAAACCAACAGAACTGTGGCTTCCTGGTGCTGGCTCACTAAAGAATTTTAAGATTGGGCCAGCAGGTAGTGTGGTGATTAGGGTGCTGAACCCGACATGGATGACTGAGCAGTTCACGTACTTCATCTGACAGCCTGAAAAACATGCTGTGTGCATGCATGAACAAAATCCCAAGAGGACGGTGGAGGAGAAGGGGATTACGGTGTGGACATCCCCCTGGAGGGGGTGATTTTTCACTTTCCCTCTTCTCTGTCTCTTTCTGTCTCTCTCTGGCAAGCTCACATGCCCTACAAGAAAAAACTTAAAAATTAAAAATAAGAATGTTAAAATCTGCTACTGTAAACTTTGGAGTGACAGGAGGGAAATCGCCCCAATTTAAGTTTGTAAAACTGCATGCAAGTGAACCCTTCTGTCTCTGGGGAGTGCAAGCACCCTATGGCAAAAAAAATCTAAAAAACAAACAAACAAAGAAACAAAAACAAAAAACAAAATGTAGATTTACAAAACTACCAAATTAGGAGTGACTTTTTTTTTAGACTTCGTTTATTTTTTTAAGGTTTTTGCCATAGGGCATATGAATTTGCTGGAGAGAGAGAGAAAGACAGCAAGAAGGAAAGTGAGAAATCACCTTCCTGGGGGGTTGCTCACACCCTAGTGCCTTCTCTTCCACTCTCCCTCTGGGATTTTAGGCATGAATACACATGCATCGGGCATGATTTTTCAAGCTGCCGGGTTCAGGATTTGAACCATGAAAGGCCATGTGGGAGTCTAGGAAGGACTCCAACCACCATGCTACCAGCTGGCCCCAATAGATTTCATTTTTTTTAAATTGTAATTACCAGAGGGTGTGTGTACTTGACTTTCCCTCTCTCTGTCTCTCTGGTGAGTGCACATGCACTATGGCAAAATCTAAAAAACAAAAACAAAATGAGGTTTACAAAACTACCAAATTGGGGGTGGCTTTTTTTTTTTTTAAAGAATTATTTTACTTACTTTTATTTATTATTATTGTTTTATAATTGGACCAGAAAGAGAGAGTGGGAAAGTAAGAAAGGAAGCAGTGCAGGACTTGAACCATGGTCAGCCACATGGGAGTCCAGTGCCTCAACCACTATGCCAACCCACCAGCCCCAGGGGGTGACATTTTTTTTTTAAATAATTATTTACTTAATTATTATTTGTTATTATCATTCTTTTTTTTTTTTTTTTTTTGAGAGGTTTTTGCTATAGGGCGTGTGCACTCGCCAGAAAGAGACAGACAGAGAGACAGAAAGCGAGAAA